TCCACAGGAATTGTTGTCATGACCCGGTGACCTTTACGTTAATGTTTATTGCCGTATTCATCATGTGGGTCCGATCAGAACAGAATGCTAGCTAACATCGAGAAACTATCAGAAATTTCGCGTACGGCGTTCTCAAAGAAGTTGATGAAAAACAGAATCGCAAGCGTTGTGTGAGGAGAGAACAACTGGTATCAAATAGAGCATCTTAGAAGACGTAAAAACTCTAGCAACAGTTATAGTACATTTCATGAATTAGAAGACAAATTTTAATTTATAGATGACTCTAAGCCAACATCGGAAACTATCGCTAACACAATGATTAAGTTAGCACTGGCAGCTTTCTCTAGAAAAACCATCTTTTCCTTTCCTTCGATTCGTTCTCTTTTGCACATCATTATTTGCAGGCTTTGCCTTGCCTACACCATATAGGATACGTTTCATAGATTTCTTTGCATAATAATCTGGTAAAGAACTAAAATCCTGAAAATCTTGCCATAAACAAATCCTCTTTGTGCAGTAACTTTGGAGTGAGGCTAACCTTTTTCCCACTTATCATTTCGAACAATTTTTTAGCGCTGCGTATCGGAATAATTTCCTTCATTTCCACCGAGCAAGTCACTCTATTCCCTAATCCCGAACTTAAGATAAGCAGTTGTCTTTATCAAATTTAAGCTGATTAATATTCGACAAAAGCTAAACAGCTCTCTTTTTGTTAACTTTTTTCCAATAATTCGTAGATCTTCCCTAACGAGGTCAGACGTTTCGCATACTCTTTTCCTTTTCAACCTCAATGTACACTTCAGATCTCATTGATTTATAACCGTAGTTCTCTATCGTTCAATAAGATCAAACTACTCTGTGCAGCTGTCCTCCCTGAGAAGTTCGCCATTTCCATCCATGCAATGCTACCACACCTAGCAATCTAGTCTCATTGTGGCAAATCTCTGCTTATCCACAAGGACAGGCGACTGGTTTTGTTGATTACTTGGTAAAAGGCTAGCACCGCTACTGAGTGAATCCATGGGAAATCTTGGTCGACCAGAAATTTACTAGTCATTTCAAGATTGTGCTCAGACCGCCACAATTATTTGCAGAGAAACGGCATTGAAAGTATACGTTTGTACTCTTAAGGAGGGTCATCTAGCCACAGTATTTCGAAGTATTCACTTAGATTTCATTTTTATGGATTTTCTCACCAATAATTTCCTTTCTAATATGAGTATTGTCTGGCTAGCCTTTTTTTCCTGAAGCGACCGAACGTAGAGAAAAACGAGAGGTGGAACTGGGAGGGGAGGGAAGCAGAGGTAGCAGATGCGTTCATCTGAATCACCACCATCGCGGCCGCGGAACCCACTCGTTCGGCGCCGACATTTCCATCGGCCGTCCTCTCTTCCGACTGAGTGGATTGCAAACTCTGTATATCAATGCAGAAGAATCAAGACGTCTAAAAATTCAGAAGATCTCTTCTCATCCCGTTGTACTTTTTCTTACTACGTTTGCATTGGTAGTGGCACCACTGGGTTCCATCATTTCTCTTATACTCTCTTCCGCAATGTTTCAATGAATGTGTCAAGGCAGTTGGTCAGTAAAGGAGACTTTACAGTTCCATAAATAATTCGTATCATTCTCAAATTGCTTTAGTTAAAGAATCGGGAATCAGTTTCTAGAAGAATTATGTTTTTTCTCTTAAAAAGAAGGGATACTGTAGAATGCTGCTTTGACCTTGCACAATCAATGCTGTTTAACGCTGATGTCATTGTCAGTGAAACAATTTTACCGAAACCATATTCTGTTCCAAGCTATAAGTAGTATAAGATGCTCTGCCACCCCTGTACTATCAAAATTCGTTATCAATTCCGTCATTTTTTTCCCATACCATCCTTATCACTCGCCTATTCCATACCACATTGACCCGACTTGTAATCATCGTCGCGACACCCTTGTGCTCTCAATTATTCGATTTCGAATATTCGACGACACTCCCACTCATATCCACCTCTGTGACAGAAACGATCAATCCCAGAAGCAATCGTACCATTGTTTCAAAACATTAGAGCGGAAGAGTGTGCTTTAGTGCCGACATTTTGATGATTGATAAGCTTTTAGTAAGCTAATAAAATTGCCTCAGAAGATAAAAAGTTCCTGGCGAGCCCAGAAAATTCCAGACCAGATAAGAGTATGGAGTTCAAATATCATTCGTTTGAATATTTTGTTGACGTGTATTATTGTTATATTTGTATGGCTTTACCTTGATTACGGTCCTTATGAAGTCTCTGTTCTTTGTATTTAAATCATCTCGTCGCTCAAAGGTATCGCGAAATTTCATTCATTAAAAGAGCTTGAGGAAAAGTTCTTTTTTATGATTTTTTCCTCGTCCTTTTTTTCCTACTCTGGCTTTTTCTTTTCTATTTATATCCCTTAGACGATATGTTGATTGCAATTTTTTTCTTAACTTGTTCCATTTGGCATAAATGGCTCTAATATAATTTTTATAGGTTAATAATTTGAAGCAAAAACAAACAGTGATATTTTTCCGTCGTTGTGGAAGGAATGCGTCTTAAAGTATTTTTATTACTCTGGATATTGTTAGTACAGGCACAAACGCAATTATTCGACTATGGAACTCGTGCCGGAGATCAGGTAAGCATCCATTTCCTCTTTTTCTATTACTTTTTCCCTCTTTCGTCTTTCTTTCCTGCTTTGGACTTTTTAAACGATTGTGTGAATAACTGTATGATTAATGTATTCGAATATTTTGTCAGCATGCCACTGTTTTTCTGCTTTCGAGCCAATACCAGGAGTTCAGCACTACGTAAAAGATTTCTTAAACTATGACAGAGTTCGATACCCATATTGCTGCCAGTTTCTTAGACAGCAACAATTTGAAACAAAGATGTGATTTATTGATAGACTGGCCATTTACCGAACTGCTTTCGTTTTTTGCTATTTCTCCAAACCGGTCTACTCATCTAGTCCTAGTGGGCAAGGAGCTGAGGCTTTCTTCCAAACATCTGTTCTCAATTTCGCACCCTCGTCTTTTTGTTCTATTCCAGTCTCTAAAACAATTCTCATCTCGTTTTTCTTCTCCTTTTCGGCCTTTTAGATGATTGGCCCAGCTCGACCGAGTTGTGGAATACCGTAGCGTTTCATTATTCTGTACTTCTCTATAGTCCGCTTTTCTTTGATGCCGTAGCATAACCGAATCTGATTTCCAATATCAGTTAGCAGAATCTGTTATGTTTAGATTTCGCCGTGCAATTTGATATGTCTCGCATCTTCTTGCAGTTTGTTTTATCCGTTTCAAAAAACACGAATGATCGTTTAGAAACTGGAAACATTCGTTCCTTCCTGATCTTTCCGGTCACGGTCATGTTCATGCATTGTGAAAACGATCAAATTAATTGCTACAAAGAATCGAACACTCCTATTTTTAAGTCTTATTTTGAGTATAAAGGCTATGTAATTTTATTAATGGCACCATAGAATTTAGCAAGATTTACTGGTACGTACTTGTTTTATCAACGATGATGATATAAAGGGTTTGGCGTTGATCAATTCCTCAACGATCCGTCATGGATTCCACTTCATTAAGCATTGGTGATTTAATACATATATAGTTCTTACATTTGTTATAGTAGGCCTATCGATATATCAAGCCAGCTTTCTTTGTCCTCACAGACAAGTCTGTTACTAATTCTCCGATCCCAGATGGATGAACGGCTTGATTTCCTTCGGCGGAGGATTGAGCTAAAGCAGCCATCTGCATCGCAGGTTTTCTCTAACTATTGCACCTCGTGAACCTCGTATTTTAAGGGTGCTATAAAATGCACATAGATTTATTTTAGTGCAGAACATGCTCATGTAATTTGCAAGCTATTTCCCTAAGAAATTATAGCATCGTGGTTGTGTAGGACTGAAGCCTCTACAGCCCTCTGGCTTCGTTTGTGCCTTACTGAAAAAGTCGTTAACCATCGAAGCTTTACCGAGCTGAGCGGTTTGGTGGCAATCTTCACCATTTTGTTACGGAATTCCTATTTCGGAACCTGATTACACGCGGTCCATCCAAGCATGACGGGCCTCAATTTAACGCTACACTGCTTATCTCGAAATCCTATTCAAAACGGTTTTACTTTTCCAGGGAATTCCACAGAGCGACATAACTTTATCCAAAGACGGCGATTTTAATAGGATATGGAAATGTCTCTTCGTTAAGTAAGATTGTAAAAATTCTATAGGAATGTGGTAATATGAAGGCCTTTGTAGACTGAAATTGAGCACGCAACGGATAGCTGTTATGGTGTTTCAAAGAAAAACGCTCTAAGTCATAGGTACATGCAAAAAGGATGGGTAATTAAAAGTTTCCTCTCGGAAGGAACGGTACCCACAAATTGTGTGCTCAATTCATGATATGACATGGATAAGGAGTGGATAGGTTATGAAGGTAAATAAGGAAACTGTCTGCACAGTGCTTATCAGCATGCGATTCTCCGGAACGTTCTGCAAGTCTAAAGTGCACTAGAACAAGTTTATGATTGCTGTTTGTTCGTTTAATACCAGATCAGCCTACTTTTCTTGTTTTTCCTTTCTGGTTATGACACTTCAATAACATACATTTATATAAAAATTGGGAGAGAAGTGCAAACCAAAGGGCGTTGACTGACTGCATGTTGTTCAAGCAGTGAAGTTTTAAAAAACCAACCGCCTATCAATTAAACGAAAAAAAACGATAACGCTTTCGACGTTGATCAATCTCTGAGTTATGCACCATATAGTTAACTTCAACAAGCATCTCCAGAGGTAAATGAAGACTCACATCATCTATACAGTGGGCTACGGTGGCCTACTTATGTATCGAGTCAGTCTTTTAATCTAATGAGGTCTGGTACTATTTCGCAGGCACTGGAGGGACGAGTGGAACCTTGGTGGGCAAGCGGCACTATATTGAACCAGCTCCCGACATCATGTACATTGCTCGGCACATCTAACTACTGCGTTTCATCAATAAACTTTCAACACTTATGCTTTTGAAATTAGTCTTCCTTTTAATATCCGCATCAGTTTCGTTGCCGCGATAATTGAAATCGAAAGTCTATAGCACTTTTTCTTGAGATGTGGGTCTTCATAGTGGTCAAGTAAAATGTAACATCACACGAATAAACTGAAATACCGTCTAATACCTGATCTTGAGTGATTGTACATTGAATACTATGGTTATCACGAAGACCTTCTATCCTGTAGCAGTTAGAGTTACTACTACAGTTGGAGTCTTGCAACTTCTTGATTCCTGCACGAAAATTTGATATTTATTCATGGTTAGGGTGCATAAATTCGTCTGCTCGATTATTACTTGCATACTTGGAGGGCCCATCTCCACAAGCTGTGCGGAGACCAGCAAATTTTCTGTTCGCTTTTTTGCCTCGCAACGCCGTCCATGGTGGTAGATTGGTTTGAGCATGGTGGCCAATGTGAGTCTCATACAGACCTGTAGATTCGGATCCTGCCTGAGGACTTTCTTCTCTTTCGTCGTTGAATGCTGCTAAAGTCGAGTCTCCCTCGAATCCTGAGATATCCGTGATGAGAAGTCCCAGCATGGATTAGAGGGAGTAAGCTTTCCCGAAACCTTTCCAGTACCAGTTTCTCGATTCTGAAGGGATCAGAAGTTTGATGGACTTGGAAGTACGGAATCAAACCAACACCTGAATTTGTTGAGCCGTCTGTGCTACAAACACGTCACTAGCATTCGCGCTATCCGCTCCGTAACAACTTTAATTGTTATCTAATATAACTCTACAAAATAAGAAGCTCTCTTCAAATGCTTCACATTTCTTCGCTGTAATATGTATCTCAGTTATCTTTTACCTCGGAACTGTGAGATCATTAAAGAGTACCCTAAAACATCGCAGAATACTTTAAAACAAGTACCGAAATATATCAAAATATAACACAATTTCATAGAGAAGTGAATTTGTAAATAATCTACTATGATTCTCACCATTCTATTCAGACCTTGGAGACTAGCTCCGGCCAGTACGCTGTCGCCATCGACGTACCAATGGTGTATATGGAGAACTCCTATAACGAGATCTACATCTCTCCAAATGGAATCATAGGATTTGGTGAACGGCTTCCAGGTACTGACGTTGCGAAAGTTTGTTCGGGCACTTTACGTGGATTTCAATAATACAGATAGTTTATAGTTAATCTATGATGTCAAATATTATTCCTTGATATTTACCACTTGGAGTTTTAAAGTTATCGTTCCACAATTTTTATGTTCGAACCGGATAAAGGATAAAGGATAAAGCTCTCGGTGTTGATCATTCCTTGAGGGATGCGCCGTGCATTCGGCTTCATTAAGCATCGTTTGGAGGTGATTGGATGCATATCTGGTCTTTACAATGACACTGGCTAGCCTTCTGATGCAAAAAGCCAGTGGTTCTATCCTTCCAGACAATCCTGTTACCTATTTGCCGGTCCCAGACAGATGGAAGACTTGGTAAATCTGGGGCGCAGAGTCGATCCACACGTGTATTGTAGGACGCCTCCGACCACCGCGTTACACGCGTCCCCTTCTAACGTGGTGCTAACTAAAATATGGACAATACCATAATTAACAATGTCTTTTGCACTAAAAAGGTAGGAAAACAGGATTTTGTCATCTATGCCACCAAATTCGCGTGAAAAACGACTTATGCGAATTCCAAACTTCTATTAGGTTCGTTTCGATGCATCCGTATTCCACGAAGGCCTCCGGATTTGCGTATGGGTTCGACTGGCATTTCAAGATTTTTTTCTCCTTCATGAATGTTGTTTAACAATGGCCTAATGGATGTTACCGGAATTCAGTGATAGATCTACTGAATCGCCACCAGATCTTCACAGTGCAGTAACGCCCAGATGTTTGTGGATCGCTTCGCAGACAACCTTGACACCAATGTGGAGATCCTAGAGGGTTAGAAGGTTTCAGTTAACTTGATGTTGGGTCCAATCTCGACCACACTTGTACTATTGAACGCAATATAGGTTGGTCGTGTCGCAGAGCTTCATAGATCCATTAAAGCCACTTCCACACAACTCCAATCTCTAACTAGTTTTGTATTCTTTAATTTTTTTTAATCATTTCCCAATTATAAAAGTAATAGGTAGGTTTTCACATTCTGAATGAAGAAAACTACTTGAAGATCTCTCTGTGTTCAGATGGAATCGAACCACTGCAACGGCTAAACAAAAGTGCTATTGCCGTTTTTTACGCACCAGTCAACGAAGGAAAAATTTACTTCAGGTGTGTCACCAATCACTCGAGCTTATCTCCATGAAAAAATACGTGCAGCTGTTAATCGTAAGCAAACTTACATTGAAATCCTCTTTCTATATTTCTTCTTTCTCCATAGAAACGTTTTGGCATTGGTTTTTTTTATGGAACTAGTTCACACCTTTAATGCCTTTTCTTTTCATTGCTCTTTTTTGCCAATGACAAAACCACAATTCTCCAAATAATCAATTTTTTGTGGTGGAGACTTTTTCCTTCTTATCTATTTTTGTTCCTTTTATATATATGTCTGGCTTTCTATAATTCATCCATTACGTACATAGACGCACTACGCCTCCTTGCCTCCGTCCCTCTAAAAATTTTCTTGAAGCTATCGGGAACCTCATTTTATTTAACGCAGCCGTGAATATTACGTTCGTATTGGCAAAGTTAATAATCTCAGTTTTAGAAAACTGACTTATATCTTATTAAAAGTAAGCATTATGTTTTCAACTACATCCTCAGCTTAACTGGGTTCATTGCCGATTTGGGTTCCCCAGATCAATCCCGCCGACAGGTAATAGCTGACGGGGCTGATCAGTAGAAATCGCTGAGAAACAGGCGAAACAAAGGACCCACATGGTGTGGTGGTGAACGCGTTAGCCCCCAGAAAGGGTAATAGCACGTTCGCTCCGCACTGCAGATGCCTGCGATCCGGAGATACTTCAGCAACGATGTGGTTTTTATTTTACATAATACCCTACCGTAAGAATTATGGTAAGCAGAAAATAAGAAGTAAACATTGTGATTTTAACTTATTTCTTTTAACGCTTCGTCTTCTCAGATACCACGCTAAGTAATAGCTATTGTCTGAAATTATTTGTTAACTTTAGTAGTTCTCAGCTTAAATATTCAGTTTTTCTAATAACTCAGACCGACTTTCTACAAACCTCGGTATGAATCGATATATTTATTTATTTTTTCTTATGAAATGATCTTGTTGAGCAGATACGAGGTTGGCATAAGTTGTCGTTGTCGTCGTTGTTGTTGTCAGTGCTGTTGTTCGATGGATGACGTGACGGCGATTTCCCTTTCCTCAGGGCCTGGACGTATTTTATGTAATAGTAGCCTTATTCGGTAAAATATCTATGGTATTAGTGAAGATTAAACTTTTAAATAAATGCTGTACTACTCACCGTGCTGTTACGAGCGGGGCTGCCCGCATATTTTTCGCGTGGGACGGAGACCGAGGCCCAATCGGGTCAAAAAAACATTTTGAAATAGGGCGCCAGTTCACGTTTGATGGTGAGGCCATCGTCTTTCCTGTTCATCTTTAGTCCCTTAAAGTTTCTCCAAAACGCCTCAAAAGTTTTGCGCGTTGATGTTTTTGATTCCTGCACTAGGATCCGTACATTCACTTCAAAATCATCGCCGTTGTGTTTTTGTGCCCTGTGCGTACCTAAAGGGGTGTTTAAACGGATTTTAGCTTTTCCATCCAGATGTTCTTTCATGCGGACACAAAGCGGTCTACCCGTTTCCCCAATATATTCCTCACTGCATGCGTTGCATGAGATCAAGTATATTACTATACCTGAACTCATGCAATCCCCGTTTCTCCCGTTAGGACAAATCACACAGTTTTCTGAGCTGCACAAACGATCACAGAGTTCGCTGCGAATTAGGTGACGGCGCAGGGTATTTGGTGGAAGATCAATAATCGCTACATAATTTTCAAGACCACATTTTCTTAAGCACCTCTTAATGGCGTAACTTATTTCGTTTAGCATGAAGGGTAGCTTAAAATGGATCTTATTTAAGCTTGAAGCGTTATCTTGGGAACAATTCTATCCATTTGTCTGACCCTAGCGGCTTCTGATTTGTATCCATTGGCAATGGCCATTTTTCGTGCTAGGTTTAGCGATTCCTTACTTTCCTCGCCTCCTGTGCACACATTTTTAGCCGTTTGGTACACGATTTTGATGAATGCTTTTTTCATGTGTGAAGGATGAGAGAAGAGGTGGTGCACTATCATATTTTTACTACTTAGCTTACGATACTGCTTTGTTATATAGGCACTTTCTGAAAGCTTTATTCGGATTTTTACCCAGTTTTTATCATTTCACGTGTATCCCTCAATCGATTCGCTGTGCATGTACAATACACTGAAAGAATGGATGGTGACAGTTTTGACGTGTTTCATTCAGGACCACCTCGTCCGACCAGCGTTTGATTCGTCGACTTACCGATTATATTCATAAGACGTTTGCTGACAGCTCGGAGTTCTCAACACTACAGGCGATGGTTGTCACATGGCACGAAATGCAGAACAAGGAGCTGGACGACAAGGCAACATTTCAAGTACGGAGATTTCCACCATCATGTTCTCGAATTTTCGATTTCATAGTGGCAGCTGTGTGTTTGATGGTCATGAGATTTGTGCTATTTGATCTCTGATTACTTTTGATTTATCCTCCAGTGCAACAATGCTCCAAATCGCTATGTCGACAATATGCAACTGCAATCTAATTCAACTTCTTCAGTTGGTATTGGCTTCCGATGGTATGACGACGTACGCAATCATCCAATTCCTTGCACTTCCATGGTCTGCATCCGGAGGAATTTATGCACAGAGCGGATTCTCGTTGGCTGACGGACGTCACCGAAGCAACATTAACTCGGGAACACCCGATGTTAAGGATCTTGTCGGGTAGGGTTCCTATAGCTCGTTTCCATTAAAAAAAAAAGATGGTTTGCTAGAAAATCCATCGAATATTGTGGAGGAATAGTAATTTTTTTTATCACTACATTTCGTAATCCTTGCTGGAATGCAGATCCAGCAGCATCCACCCGTTAATGAAATTCCCAAATCGTTACGTAAGGTTCCGCTGCTCACGCTTTTTCGATGCCTTCACTTGTTCCCAATAAATTCCTGATTCCATCCAAATTTAGGGTGAGGAAATTTCCTGTGGTTCTCAAAATCCCGTTTAAATTATTATTCGAACTATGTGGAATCCCAGAGATATTGCAGCAATTCTCGGTATTTGTCCCACGAATAAATGTTTTTATCCCTGAATGGATCTGACACACATAACCACATTTCTTCTCCAAATTTCTTTACATGATACTAATATCGTGTTTTGGGAAACGTTAACGAATTCTTCACGTTTGTTGCATTCAGCATGCCCATTGATTGATAATTTCCAAGAAACCTACGTTTTTCTGGCGACATCGTCGTATTTTCGAGAATGACCAGTGAAGCAGAGCCGTTGTCCGAAGAACTCAACGAAGCGAGAAGAAAATAAGAGCGCAAATATATCGGACGGAAATCCAATTCATGAAAAACCTGTGGTACGATGGAAAACGATTCGAAATAGACGCCGTTCTGATAACAGAGACAGCAATAGAGAGTTTTGTTTTGCCTAGGACTATAAGGGAACGAGAAGGACGGCAAGGAGAAGGAACTGTGAAAGGTGGGGAGCACCATGAGTCTGATTCGGGGCTTTCTGAATATCCAGCCATCAATTGACGAACTCAAAGCTTCATACTCACACTTCTGATTGAAATTTCCTGCAATCGCTAGGCTTATGCTGTTACGCATCGCTACAGTACTCTTAGGGAGTTTTTATGGGATAGGTCAGCACAAATAGAGTAAAGCAGACTATGCAGTTAAACCTTCGAAAGCTGTCCCATCTTCTAGCTTTTGATAAATCGAAATCAAAAAGGAGAACGAACAACACTTGGAAAAGTCTTATGGTGATATCAATCACTGAACAAATGCGGGAGATACATTCAGTATTGATGAATCCCTTTTGAATGCACTATACGTACCACTCCATTTGTAGCACGTAGGGTAATCGAATGCATATTTGGCCTATGCAGTGAAATGCGAACGGCTATCGGTGCATCAAGCCAGCTTTATCCTCCCAAACCAGTCTGTTAGCAGTTTGCTTGCGATCTGAATGAGGGCTTGGCTGCCTTTGGTGCGGGACGGATCCAACAACGATGTTTGTATTACAAGGCAGTCCTGATCTATGCTTTTAGATCCTCTCACTAACAATGAACTAATTGAAAGTTTCACAATGTTTAGACTATCAAATAACCCAGAAGGCTCGTTCGTCTTTCGAATCTCCGGCGCCACCATTGAAGATCCCCGGGAAAATGTCGACGATTACGACTACACAAATTACGATCAGACCGATTACGACGGTGACGACAGAAAACCGCGTAAGTCAGCAATGTTCATAATTGAGGACATTCTTTCTACAAGTTGTTGCTTTTTCGCTTCTAAACTTTATTTTTATTACTTTTAAATAGTTGATAGGTTTTCCCTACTTGATGCTTCAGAAACTTGGTGTCTAATATTTGAAAAAGCATAGCTTTTCGTATCCTCCCAATGGTTTACCGCCTCATCGTGGCTGGGAGGTGTTTCTGAGTGTCGGACTGCGATGTACAGCGGAGGGATTCGTCTCCCCGGCAGGGTCTCCCAAACCGAGAAGGAGTCCGGCGTTTCCATCAGGAAGTCTAGCTAAGAGTAAACCAAAACCAGAATCCACCACCGTCTTGGTGTCAAAGTCGCATGGTGGCAAATCTCCCTTTGATCCACAAGGGCTGCGGCTGTCGGTGGCGGTGAAGACCTGGGGCAAACTTTGGCCAGGCTGACTTCGGGATTCCAGTGAACCGCAATGCCTCTACCAGAAACTCTCCGAAAAATGAAGACTGTGATGGCGCGCGCACAAGCAATAAGGAAGAGCCGTTCAAGTATCAACTATCAATTAAGTATCTTTTGTATGCAAAATTCTTCATTGGTTTTAGGGATCCGAAAATTTTTTAAGGCTGTATATCCAGCTACCGAAGTTCTCGTGTTCTCTATTTCCATCTCTTAAAATAGTGATAAACTATCCTTATCCAGTGACCATTATTTAGGACCGTAACATTGCTGGTACAGCCGGAGTTCATCATCTAGCAACGTTGTAGACAAGACGTAGAGTACCACTCTCTCATTTATGCAGAAGGAAATGTTTATAGTTTTTTTCTAAGTGGCAAGTCTATCGATGAATAGGAAAAAATGTTACAAAAAAGCTCTCTAACCTTGCGATAATAGACTTAAAAAGCAATCCAGAACCCACATTTTTTTCCTATTGATCTGTCTCGGAAACCAGTCGAGGACACCTTGTAGGCGGTTTTTGTATTGAAGTGACTTCTTCAGGAAGTGACTTCTTCAGCTGTCTTCATTTCTAAGAGCGTTCGTTCCCCACCACCATAGACACCTGCGGTCCAGAGTTTTGCAAATATCTCAGCAACGTTGTGGTTGTATTTCGCTTAGTAACCTGCCATGAAAATTATAGAAGGCAGAAAACAGAACGTTAAACATTATAAGCTGTATTTGCACACTTGGACACTTGTATGACACGTCCTCATTGATTATGCAAGCCCCAGCATAACCTTCACTTTTCCGGAGATTTGCTGGTTTAGCCATTGTGGTTCCCTGGAATCCCGAGGTCAGAATGGCCAAGGTCTGCCCCAGGTTGTCACCACCACAGGCAGTCGCCGCCCTTGTGGTTCAGAGGAAGACTTCCCACCAAGTGACTAGTTTGATACTAGGACGGCCGTGGATCCTGGCCTCGGTTCACTCTTAAGTAGGCTTGCTGATGGAAATGCCGGCCTTCGTATCAGCTTGGGAAACTACCGGGCGATGAATCCTTCCGATGTACATCGCAGTCCCACAACCACGAACCTCTCCCAGCCACGATTATGCGGTGAACCGTTGGGAGGATATGCTGTATTGCAACATTTATTTAACGCTGTCTATGAAAATCTGGAATTAAGGTTGCTTGTGTATGTGTGTATATATGCGTAAATTATATGTAACCTTGTATGGATGCCGGTATATGTGTAAATCGGCTACAAGTCGAACTGTTCGGTACCTAAAGAACCCATGATATGCTTTCTTCTTAGGGTGGCAGAAAGCCACCACGCCTAAGTACTTTTTAAAAAAGTGCATTCAATTAACTGATTATGTAATTGCTACTAAGGAAGCTAATATATAACCGAAACTCGGAACTCCAGTTGGTTTTCGAACCCGCGATCACCTTTAAGGGGGCTTACGTGCTATCTATCACACCAAGCCCCACCTGAATTCTCCAGTTTTGCTCAGTTCTCAGCATCCCTGCGGTTGTATTCCACATAATATTGTACCATGAAAAAGAGTATGGAGGAAGTAAAAATTAAAACAATATGAAATTTTATTGCATTTTCCTTTCAATGTTCAAAAACTAATGAATGACAAATATCTTCTATGACAACTTTTAACTTTATTATTTACTATCTACTTTTTTAATGGCAGGGTATATTGCGAAATATAACTTCAATGATGCTGAGATATTTGCAAAACGCCGGACCGCAGGTGCCTGAGGTGGGAACGAACATGCTATTGCCCTTTCCTGGGAGTAACGCGTTCACCACCACACCATGCGGATCCTTCGTTTTGCCTGTCTATCAGCTAGTTCTATCGATCTCTGCCATCATCAATCACCCGTCAGCTGTATTGATGTGCGGAGCCCAAATCGGCAACGAACCCAGTTAAGCTAGGGCTGTAGTTATAATCATAACTTTAACTTGTTATTTACTGCCTACTCTTTTTAGTGGCGGGAAATATTGCGAAATATAACTTAACGAAAGACCCGAATGGTGTGGTGGTGAACGCGTTACTCCACGGAAAGAACAATAGGGCGCTCGTTCTCCATCGCAGGCAGCTGCGGTCTGGAGTTTGGAAATATCTTAGCATCATTGAAGTTATCTTCTATCAAATCTGTACTGTGGCATTGACATGTTCTACTACTTTTGATCACTATGAAGACCTCTAAGCCTCACGATTTTTTTTAGCGGCAGACTGTCCCGTTGATCCATACGGCGACAGATGCCCAGAGGGTTGCAACATTCTAACTGATGAGCGCCACTGCTCGCGTTGTGTCTGTGCCGGTGAGTGTTCATTTTGATGAAATATCCCTTTCATCAAGCTAGTATAGAACTGGAAGTGATTGAAAACTGAGTCCAATTGGATGACCCCATAGACGGATCATTTTCTGTACTGATAAGATCATTGGTGTGATATATGAAGAGTGTGTTTACCTTTGATTCTTCTAGAAAAGTACGTATTATAATGTTTTTTCCTAATCAGAGCCAAATCCTGAGGACGGTGCAGAAGATAATCAACTTTCTGACTACACCGTGCACGAAAAACTGCCGCAGCGTCCACATGCACCATCTGTGGATCGTAGGACTCACGATGGTACAAGTGAACCTCAACGTGAGACGGAAGGCACTGACAAGAGGCCCGGTGAGCCTGAACGTGAGCGCGAACGTGAACAAGCACCCCAATACGGACAAAGTGAGATAACTCAGCATTCTGAAAGTCCATCATACTCCTTATTGTTGTTCAGCTGAGCAACACACTAACGTTATGAACTGTGCTTCCGCTGGACAAGAGGCTTGTAATCAGAATGCTTTATGCAGGTGTCCTAGTGTTTATTTGTCCCTCTTTATTTACTAGTGTTTTCATTATTTGCCTCCATTATTTTGATAGTTGGTTTTAGGGTCCTTTCAACTAAGAATTTCAGGGACTTCGCTAGTGGTTTCTGTTGCGAATGCCGACCAGGATTCTATGGAAATGGGAAGGAATGCTTGAAAAATGGTCAGTTTTCCTAGTCTGTTGGAATTTGCATAAAGCATAGTTGTCATCATCGTGTTTTTGACTGCAGGAGATCCTCAGCGAATATCTGGATCATTCGAGGGTGTTATCAATGGAATTCCAATCGATCGTACTGATCTACACACATTTATCACTCCCACCGATGGTCATGCATATACGGCAATTTCGAAAATCCCGTCCGATCTCGGATATCCACTTCTGCTCTTGAATCCTATCGGATCCATCATGGGATGGCTTTTCGCTGAGGTGAACGTAGACAAATCTATTAATATCGGAATCAGAACCAAGGAAAAACAACTGCTTCTCCCCATGTCAAGAGATGTTAGGATTTGTCCGTTAAATAGTGAAAATTGGTAGTTCACGTTTATTTTCCCAACAGAATTCTCAATAGACATCATTATTACATGTTCCTAGTTTTAATCATTCTTCCAATTCCAATAACGATAGGATCACTCCACAGCAGCTTGTTTATCCATAACTGTTCCCATGTCTTAAACGAGTCTGCTACGTCTCTCTTGCCAACCTAAAGTCATTTAATGTCTGTCTTTGTAGGTTTTTAGTCATTTTAGTGAAAGCCTCGTGTCTTCATGAACAGACAAATGTACTGTAAATGTACTAGATATTGGTCGCAGAAATCCATTTGCAATTCCGCCATTATTGGCGTGGGAGGGGGACGAACAGGCGCTTGCCTTTCATTTCTTCACTTCTACTTTTTTTAAAGTAACTGTTCTTTCCTGTTATACACAAAGCTGCCTAATGAGGTCGGCTAGCTTATGGTACACAACGACATGACAACTTCAAATTCTGTAAAGACTGTTTTGTCTACTCTCCATTTTGCTCTTTGGAATATCATAAGTGCTCAATGCATTCATTGTCAACTTATCGTAATCTCTTAGTTAACTTGTTTGACATATTGGCCCATACGGTCTCTTATGAATTTTCAGTTGATTTTTGCCTTTCTGTCCTACCCATGTGCACGATGTAATCTAAATACAGATAGGTACACCGCTCCTTATGACAAAAATTTATGAAGTGCTCCAAGAGTCTGGGATAAACCGAAATCCTACATGATTCACTGATTTAGGTGAAATCGCCATCTGTCTACAACGGTTTCCAATTGACTGGCGGTCTATTCAATCGAACCGTAACGCTGCACATTGGCGATCGAAGCCATTTAACGATTCGTCAACAGTTCAGTGGCAGGGATATATACCACTATTTTAAGTCTACGGTGTGATTTTGAACTATACGATGAACGTGTTGAGTATCTTGAGCTTGCGACTATAGTGACGTTCACAGAAACAATCATTTGAGATTCTTACGGTTTTCGAAGCTTCTGCATGATAACACATGATTTCGGTTCTTCTGCTTGTTTGTGAGAGGCGATTCACTGTTTATTCAAAGTGTTTTTCCCTTTTTTTTTCGAGAAAGGAAGAGCCGTCGGCACAAGCTTTCGGAGGTCATCAGAAGCTTACATCCTTAACCTCATTAGTTTAGAGCCTTATGTTCTAAGTAAATTGTTTAACGTATGAGTTCATATTATTGGTGATAAACCAGCAGAATCTCTTATTAACTCTGCATACTCTTTCGCCTACTTCAGGTGTTCGTGTCAGGAACATTACCCGATATTTCTCCCGATACAGAAATCGTCTTCCCTAATTATGAAGAGGAATATCGTCGTGAACGACCAGGTAGAAAGCGACTATATTCTCAATTTTCACTCAGCTTATTCAGACCTTGGCCGTTTTTCCAGAATAATTTGAAAATGTTGTCCAGGGCTTGTTCGATCTTATACTGGAGTCGACATTTTGCTGAAGGAGGCCGGCCAACAAAGAACGATAAGAATGACTATAGATCAACAAATTCAGTTTGAAGAATGCCCTCACCAAAATGTGAGTGAGAAGACTGTTTGCCTTTTTTTCTCTCTATTATAGAAATTTATTGCTCGCGTATTAAGTTACGAAGCTTTATAAGTTCTACTTAAGAAAATCGATAGTAACTCAGTTTTTTCCTGTAGGAAAAGTAGTTTCGCAAGGATGTTTCTCTTCTTGTGCCGCATTATAATTTGTACATTTATTATATTCGATATTTCATCGTCTACATTTTTGCTTCATTTTCTTCACAGCCTCGAAGGAAAAGTCATATAGATCTGCAGGTCCTTTTTCTATCAGTTTCTCGTATAATCTCATGCTAAAGCCTTGAATCTAAATGTTGGTCGTACAGCTTTAGCAGCTTTACGATCACTCACTGTATCACTCGACCACATTATACAACAATTGGGACACATGAGGTTACAAATGTGGTCTACCCCAGCTTAAAAACGACGTTGAGATTTCTAAAGACCTTCAATCAAAATCACTCATTTCCTCGATTTCTTTATGGAACTTTTCCGTAAAACTGGAGCACCTCGAGAACTTTTCCATATGAAATCTTTTACTTCGGTATTAAGATCCTGTGTAATGTTTTAAAACTTTGCCACTATAACCTATGAAATTACCGCAATGTTCCTTCTATCTTGTCTAGCGAGCACTTTCAGAATCTATATTCCCTATCAGGATGTTCTCCTACGTGGACTCAAAGTAGTCTCCACAACATATCTACCATTTCAAACCAAATAATAAATCGGAAATGGGACGTTAGTTCATGTAGTCTTCATCTGGATCGCCATCATTGGAGCCAGTTAAACAATGCTTGTTTGTTCAGTAAGCCCATTATGAACCCTATACGGATCCTTGTAGTTCATGTCGTAATGTGTCTAGTGTTGGTTGGACCACTGACATTGATTTTTCTTAATGTATCGTTATAATAAATTCTGCGTAGTACCGGCTGCTTCGTCGGAAGTGATGAGCAAGTTAAGAAGAAGGGTTTTATCAAAGCTGAAGGAATGACATTTTGGGTACCCGCACCATTGGAGATCGCCTCACCTTGCATTTAATTGAGTGATAGTTTGTTCCTCGTTTTTCCTATACATATACTGGGTCACATTTTCTCGTAGAGGTGTGTGTTGCTTAGTGGTTAGCGGTGACCTACGATGGATATGTGGTCATTGGTTCAATCGTGTGCCCCTCGCTAACCAAGTTCCCGTCCTTATGGCGTGGGTAAATTGATACCAGAAGTGTCCAGGATGTTTTTCAAAAATGGCGAAATATTCTCCCGTAAGTCGTTGTTTACGCTAAATGTGTATAACTACCCTTACGGTGTTGTTAATGGAGAAGAATTATGGCGCAGCCCTAAAGAATAAGTAAGCGTTCAGCTCTTTATTCTCTATCCCTTACAACTTGTGGCTCAACATCGATTTCTTACTGTTTGCATGCGATTGTTTTGATTAAGGCTAGTTTGGCTACATGGACAGTAAATAACATACTTGTATTTATGTAGCGTAATAACTAAAGGCGTAAAGTTTTAGTTTGACAAAGACAGTGTAGTCGCTCTACAAGTGGAAGGCGTCCACGTCACCTACGACTCTCATGAAGGTATTGTACGGTGAGTTTGATGTCAGTTGCCCATAACTTCGTATTAATGCCAGGATCATTTCTTAATAACTCGAAAGACCGACTTTCCCATAAACGTCGGCATAGATAGTTGATGTATTTATTTCTGTGAACTTATAAACTGAACTTCTTAAGCTGACGCAAGGTGGGTACAGGTCATCGTTGTTGTTGTCGTTGTTCTTGATGTTATTAATCGATGGCTGACGTTTCGGCGACTTCGCCTTCCTCAGCAGAGCTTGGACGTATTTTATATCAGACTATTTTTATTATTCGGTGGAAAAGAAAGGTTAAGGTATTAATGAAGATCAAACTTTCAAATAGACGCCATATTGAACAGAAAGGCCACTCACCGTGATGTTACTTGCGGGACTGGCCCACACGTAGTTCACGTGGAGTCGCGAGCGAGATGTACCCCGGCGTCAAAATATCATTTTAAAATAGGGAGCCAGGTCACGCGTGATAGTGAGGCATTGGGCTTTCAGGTTCATCTTTGGATTTTTGAAATTTATCCAAAACGCCTCAAGAGTTTTGCGCGTTGATGTTTTTGATTCCTGCGCTAGGATCCGCACATTCACTTCAAAGTCATCGCCGTTGTGCTTTTGTGCCCTATGCGTACCTAGAGGGGTGTTTAGACGGATTTAACTTTTCCATCTCGACATTCTTCTATGCGGACACAAAGTGGTCTACCCGTTTCACCGATATATTCCTTGCCGCATGCATTACATGAGATCAAGTATATTATACCTAAACTCATGCAATCCCCGTCTCTCCCGTTAGGACAGATCATACAGTTTTCTGAGCTGCACAAACGATCATAGAGACGGTTTCGAACTAACTGGCGGCGTACGGTATTGGGTGGGATGCCAACAATCGTTACATAATTTTCAAGACCACTTTTTCTTAAGCACTTTTTAATGGCGTGACTTACTTCATTTGGTATGAAGGTAGCTTAATGGGGATTTTACTTACGTCCGAAATATTATTTTGGGAAACTACGCAACATTTTCCTCTAACCCGCAAAACTCTTGAGGCGTTTTGGATAAATTTCAAAAATCCAAAGATGAACCGGAAAGCCCAATGCCTCACTATCACTCGTGACCTGGCGCCCTATTTCAAAATGATATTTTGACCCCGGGGTGTGTCTTGCTCGCGACTCCACGAAAACAACTCGTGGGGCAGTAGCGCACGTAACATCACGGTGAGTGGCCTTTCTGCTCAATATGGCGTCTATTTGAAAGTTTGATCTTCATTAAGACTTTAACCTTTCTTTTCCACCGAATAATAAAAATATTCCAATATAAAATACGTCCAGGCTCTGAGGAAGGCGAAGACGCCGGAACGCCAGTCATCGATCAATAACATCAAAAACAACGACAACGACAACGAAGACGTGTACCATCCTCGCGTCAGCTTAAGAAGATCGGTTTATTTGATCACATGAATAAAATGCCTGGATCATTATTTTCATTACAATAACGCCGACTACGGCATATTTCGACAATTTTTCGATATCACTGGTTTAATGTTAGCTTCTTATTTCCTGCCTACTTCAATTTTTCACGGCAAAGTATTATATGAAATTCAATCTCAGTGATGCCGAAATATTTGCAAAACTCCGGACTGCAGTTGTCTGCGGTGGGAACGAACGCGCTATTACCCTTCTTTATGAGTCTCAACGTGTTCACAACCGCACAGCGCGTGCCCTTCGTTTCGTCTGTCTCTCAGCTAGTTTCCTATCTGCCAGTGCCATCAGCAGTCATCCGTCATTCCCATTTTAGTGCCTTGAATCTTGATATTAGGTCTCACTTTAGTTCACTGGTGCTATTACATGCTGATTTATCCCCTCATATTTCACTTCAGTGGCTTTTTGTCGTTTTTTCAGTAGCAGGATCATCTTTGCTCCTTTCTGAGGTGATACCAATTGTCTTAATTTTGTTAACACAGTATTTACTTAAAACTGTGCAGTAAGCGCAGAGACGATTGCAAGAAATTGAGCTAAACATGTTGAAAAATAGAACGGGCTAAACTAGCTGTCAGAATGTGATACGCTTGACAAACTAAAAGAGATAAATGCAAAGAAAAGCCTAGGAAACGCTGTATGAGTCTTAGTATCCAGTTTCCCAATATATTTGCTGAATGCTTAAGCCTTTAAGAACATCACATTTAGATATGCATCGCGAAATTACGCCAATGAAGTCGGAAGAGGAAGAAATCCATCTGAATCGGATATGGACTCAAGCACCGACCGTCGTCAGCAAGCTGGACCTCAACATCAAGCCCAGAATCCGACGACGAATCGCGGCGAAGTTAGCTATTTCCCAAGTATTATGTCTCAAAAAAATGTTGAGGATAATAGTATTAGTAAGGAGGTGTGGGAAAGAGGTGGTTAGAGACGTAGTGCAGTACCTGTGTGTAGGGTAGGGAAATTGTCACCAGCCTTTTCTCACAACAGCTCCTTGTTGACAGCAAAGCCCAGTGAGTGCCTGTGGTGAACACCTGGAGACACGGTCGTAGAGTTATCCCAGGATATCAAGAATATAAACTCAGCGACCATTCAGTGATGTTTATTAAGTCCATAAAACACTATACTGGCAGTTGTGCTCGTAGGCAATTACGTAGATCTTTGTAGGTTACAGATGCAAACCACCGAAATGATTGAAAGCACTGCAAGAATCTGTTCAATATGTGACAAGGATCATATAAATGAAAATTAACCTGTTAATATCGATCGACGTGTTTACCTAAGTTGACTAGACTTACTGAATATTCCGATTTATGTATTACAACCACAGTGCAATCTTGTTCAGGATATTTGCGTCGAAGGTCGCCATGTTTGCACGTTGCCGAACATGCGGTGTCGTCCCGTTGAGCCGTCATACCGCTGTGAATGCCTGCCTGGATATCAGGCGACTCGTGATGAATCTTCACCTCTGGGATGGAAATGCCAAGGCTTTTGTTTCTCTCATCTTTTCATTATCTTCCCTAAAGAGCTACATTGTAGCCAAATTAACTATAACTCCATTTCTATTGAGCGCAGATACTTATTACTTACTTGGATGCTTGGATTGGCCGTCTTCACTGGTGGCACGGGCCCCATCACAATTTCCATTTTTCGGAGTTTTTCTGGTTTAGCTATTGAGGTTCCCTGGAGTCCCGGGGTCAGTCAGGCCAAAGTATGTGCCAGACAGACACTTACTGTAACGTTTTCTAAACGAATTGTGTTCATGCTCAGCAGTTACTATGACTAGTTTAGTTGAACATTGATTTTATAATAGTACCTATTGAGCTAACTTCTTCATAGTGAAAATATGGACTAAATACCATAAATAAAAGAAAAGATGAACAAGTGGACAGTAAGAAGTTAGCAAATGAAGAATTTGTGCCAGAATTGAATAGAGAGAAAATATAGCTACTAGGGGATTAAAATATATCAACGGTTGATACACCGTTAACCGTTCACCCCAAATTCATCGATTATTCCGCTAAAGCAATCAATACGCATGCTTTCTATTATATGTGAAGGAGTGTATGAGGTATGTTTGATGAACCAACTAGTAACAAATGTGGCGGTGAAAGTTGGTGCACTCTCTTTCTACTGACTTTAATTTGTGTGTTGTGAATTGTATCAAAAAAAGATTTTGGAAGAATATTAAACACAGTGAAGAAAAAACTCTTGCCAGACATAGGAAGTAGAAAGGAAAAAACAAAAAGGAGAAATTTAATGTAAAGTCGTTCCCGGGAACTGGAATGTCGTTGGAGAATTTATAATTTTCCTTATCCAGCCTTATTTCCTTACTTATTGATCAGTATAGCTCCTTTGAAATTTCGAGATGAGTTCCATACAATTGTTCATTTTTTATTAGTAGTTTCTCATAAGATGGCCAACTAAAGTCAAGCGGAAGAGCGCTGAAAAAGAAGTGCCTGTGTTACTTTACCAAAAATGAAAACATTATGCCAAACATCGTCAACTTTTCTTTCCTTTTTTCTTTCTTCTTTACTTTTTTTTGAATAAGCACAACAAAGTGGTGTTTTACTTTAAATCATTAACTTTGGTTTTTGCGGAAAATTCTGACTAATTTTTCGTCTCATTCCGTTCAGACTTGAATGAGTGTGAACGAGGTGACCATACTTGCGATCAGAATGCCGTCTGCAGCAACACCGACGGCTCGTTCACATGCGAATGTCGACCGGGTTACGATGGTGACGGCCATCGTTGTACGAGTGAGTTAACCGAGAAAATCCTCGAACTAATCGATAGCTAGTGTTTTTCTTTATAAAAAAAAAGACAAGAAGACCACTCGGTTATGAGAAAGATTTCAGGGCAGCACGTCGCCGAATTGGACGTTCCTGTCGAACCGATTCTTCATGGCACTACGCAACATCAAGCGGTACTGTGGTTCATCATCATTTTGTTTTCACTATATTCGAAAGAATCTCTTTCTCGTGAATAGTTTCTATGGTGTAGAAAATTCACATACATCCATGATATTATTTTCCTAAGTTTTCATCATAAGGGCGCTTATGGCGCAGTGGTTGGAGGCGCCACTGCGACACACACGTGGAATCGATCCCCGCTTCCGTGGCCCACCAAGCCTTCCATCCCTCCGGGGGCGGCAAATTGGTACCAGACTTGTCTGATAGGATAGCAACACTGGCTCGATACATCAGTAGACCACCACCGCGAGTTATTGTAAAGGCCAGATATGCATCCAATCACCTCCAAACGATGCTTAATGAAATCAAATGCATGGCGCATCTCTCAGTGATTGATCAACGTTGGGAGCTTTGTCCTTTATCCTTTATGCATTCCCACTACAATGAAAATGTTACTGCGATTTACCCTTGATACTTTGATTTTTTAAATCCGATTTCTTTCGTACTCAAAAAAGTCCACCAAACTTTCTAACCTTCAAATATTGGAATAAGGGCATTAGTTCAAGTTGTTTTTTGTGTCACTTTTTTAATGTAGCCCTTCCTTATTGTTCAGGGTTCATGTACCAACCATCAGCAGTGTCATCAATGGGGTGAATGCGTTTTCGTGGATGGGTCACCTTACGGACATTGTCGGTGTCGAGGATGGTACACTGGTGACGGTGTCAACCATTGTGGACCGCCAGAAGGTGGGTATAAAAATTGCAAGTTCTATTGGAATAGGATTGGCCGAAACATGTGAACCTTCTTGCACTGAATGCTGCTGTGTCCGTCGACTGGAACTGACGAGTTGAAGAAAGATCGAACTTGTTCTTCGAAGCAAATAACTAAGTGAAATTGTGACATATACGCTGTAGTTGAAAATACTGTGGGATTTAGAGATTACAGTAAAACTCAGAAGATTGTAGATTACTGTAATGCGCAATATATATGGATGAGCGCATCCACACCATGTCATTATCTTGCTGTTTTGAGATGTTAGAGGTCGTTACAAATCCTTACTGTGGCTTACGTTTTAGCATTATTGCCTTCTTCAAAACAGCAATGTTTCAAGTCATAAGTGGTTGTTTCATACGATGTAGCTTTTCGCAGTTGCATCGATTGAAATCTAGTAGAGTGGAATACTTACTTACCTGAATACTTTGATAGCCGTCTTAAGCGGTTGTCCGCACCCCTGCGTAATTTCCATTTTCTCGGAGTTTTGCTGGCTTAGTCATTGTGGTTGCGTAGTCCCGAGGTTAGTTTAGCCAAAGTGTGCCCAGTTCGTCACCACCACAGCCAGTCACCGCCCTTATGGATCAGAGGGAGATTTGCCAACATTCGACTAGTTTGATACCAGAACGCTGGTGGATGCTGGCACTGGTTTACTCTTAGCTGGACTTCCTGAACACCGAACTACTTCTCGATTTGGGAGACTCTGCTGGTGGTTGAATCCTCCGGCTGTGCATTGCAGCCCGACACTCAAGAAAACCATGAAGCTGCGATGAGGCGATAAACCGTTGGGAGGGTAAAGTGGAATATCGCAAGAAAAAGCGAAGTTTCGTTTAAATGTGAGGATTCTAGGCCCTGAAGAAAGTAATGGCGTTGGAATACTGGCCAAAATAAATTTCTTGTAACAAACTATCGTATGCTTATCATTGCAACAATATATTGACCAGTCATTCCGAAGGTATACGAAAGTTGGTTTTAAAGATCCTTTTGATCTATTGATACTGAAGATTGGTAGAAGGTTTCTATTCAGAAGGACCACGTCGTCAGACTGAACAGAGAGGCAGACCGTGTGGAGAACACGTTTGTGATGTTAATGCTGATTGTATGCCATCGCCGAGTGGAGGAGTTCGTTTGTTTTAGTGAATAGATGGTGGCGGTCATCTTTATTTTCGTTGATCGCATCATCACTTATCATGTTATGATCATTATCATTTCAATTTACCCACTGGAGTACCAACGCTTTCATAACAGCAAAATTGACGATTGTTTCCAGTTCAAACTGTTTTTGAGTGTGATACCTATAGAATTCTCCTTCTTTTTTAGTTGGAATGTGTCTGCAAAGCTGGGTTTGTCGGCAACGGAGTCATCTGTGAATCGCTTACTATTGAAGATTTTCCGGATGGAAGACGACCGATCACAGAAGGAACCTTGGGTAGGTATGATGTCAGTGAATGCTCATTGTGAATCTCGCATTTCATTTGTTTTCATTGGCTGTCTCTGAACGCAGAAGTTAGGAACTATCAGTGAAAATGAGTTTTTTATTCACTATGGTTTAAGACGTTTCTTTCGGTAAGGGACAGCGTGCAGCACAATGACTAGAGATGCCCTAGAGTACGAATCAGATCGGCCGCTTGTTCGAGGCAGCGCTTTGGGCTGACCAAACTTTGTTCCTATCCCTCCCGTCTGGGAAATTGTTACCGGACTTATGTCTCGGAGGCACTCAATAACCTCTACGATGCTTGGTGAAGTCGAGTATAGTGGCCCACTCTTGAAGAACCTATTCAACGCCCACTTTTTTTGTTAGTTACGAAAAAAGTTTGCAGAAAAACCATGTCGGTCTCACGAGGAATGCTCTGAGCATGGTAGTTGTGCGTACAGCGATACACTTGGCTATTACCACTGCGTATGTACGAAGCCGTATGAAGGAGATGGAATTGAGTGCCGGCTGAAGGATGACCAAACCATGAGTAAGTCAAAATATTCATTGTGTTAGAAAGATTCTGTGGTAGCATTTCCTTTTTATGGGAAATTTGACATATTTGGGATTCACTATTAATCGTGAAAAATAGAGATGCCACCGTTTGATGTTAACTAAAGTGCGGCCTACCAGATCTTCAACACACGTTCTTCATGAACTATTTGGGTTCGTGAAGACAATCGTAAAGTAGCCGAGCAGCCACTGATTGTCAAAAACGCTTAGTGGGAAGTGTTAAATGGAAGTTAATATTAGAAAACCTTATTTAAGAATTCGTGGGGCGCGTGTAGCTTAATGCTCGGAGGGGCCCTGCAAAACACATGGGATCTATCCCTTCGCCCAACGCTCACCCAGCCTTCCATCCCTCTGGGGTTGGTACCAGACTTGTCTGAGAGGATAGCAGTACTAGCTCGGTACACCGGCAGGCCACGGCTAGTCATTGTAAAGGCCAGATATACATTCAGCCACCTCTAACGATGCTTGATGAAGTCGAACGCATGGTGCATCCCTCACGGATTGATCAACGCCAAAAGCTCCGTCCTTTCGGACTTTTTTCATAATTCTGCAGTTCAACCATTTACTCATAGTGTTTTGACCACAGTTTGATGTTCAATAAGTCACAAATATGATTTTCTGAATCAAAAACGCAGGAATTTGCTCTCCAAAGTTATTAGTGATCCATGTAAGAGAAGGAAAAAACAGCTGTTTAGAGGGAAAATTCCGTAGGATGTCAGTCATATATTGTTTTGCATTTGACATTTCTAGACACTGAGTTTCATAATCCATTCAGAACAGCCGGGTTGTGATGAGCTTCGTAATTGTGGCGAAAATGCTCAGTGCGTCTACGATAGTCACAACAGGTAAGAGTCGACAGCAGAAAAAGTCTGAACAGCTAAGTAGTGAGCCAAAACGCCATTTGTGATTGTTCTTTCATTTATGTGATGTAATGTATTGGAATTCTTCCGTTGGAGGTTCGAGGTGCGATAGAAAGCATGAAAAGAGGCACAGCTCCACGACTCGATAATATCACTACCGATTTCCTTAGAGCTGGAGGCCACAATTAACATGTACTTCTCGCCTCGCAAATCATATGACAGACTACCTTCGAAAGGAGAAAATCCCAGAACAGTGAAGGATTTCGCGCACGGGTTTCCTAGCCAAGAAAGGAGACCGAAGGGTTTCTCGTAACTATCGTCCCATATGCTTGTTAAGTGTACTCTACAAGCTCTTCACGGAGATTATCCTCTTTCGCATACCAAGGACATTGGATGAGGCGCAACCAGTCGAGCAGGTAGGATTTTGAGAAGGATTTTGCTGCATGGACCACATCCAAACCGTGTCCAGGGTCATCGAAGTTTGACGGGAATACCACTTGCCTCTAGTTCTAACCTTTGTCGACTATGAGAAAGCGTTTGACAGTGTCGAAACGAATACAATCCTATCAGCGCTCGTCGACCAAGGAGTGGAGCCGTCCTACATAAGGACTCTGTCTGACTGTTATCGGAGCTGCACTACGAAAATACAGCTTTTCCATCGACCTCTTACAATACTCATAGGAAAAGGGGTTCGACGGCGACACAATATCGCCAAAGCTGTTCAGTGCTGCACTGCAGTTGAAAATGAAGTGTCACTCGATTGGGTTGAGAAAGGCATAGGTATTGATGGAAAATTCCTATCAAACCTTCGTTCTGCCGACGACATTGTCATCGTCTCAAGAAGTACTAGTGAAGCAGAAATGATAATCAACGAGCTCGATGAAGCGGGGAAAAAGATCGGACTTCGCATAATTCGAAAGAAGACCCAATTCATGAAAAATCTATGGTGCGAAGGCGAAAAAATTGAATTGGATGGCTCTCTCATTGCAGAGACCAGCTCGTACGTTTACCTTGGGCGGTCAATGAAGATGGAAAACAACATGAACGAGGAGCTAGATAGAAGGAGAGCAGCTTAGGCCGCATTCGGGTCTCTCAAAGAAGCCACCGACTAACTGAAGGACCCGAAAATCCGCACTCATCATTGATTCTGCGGTCCTCCCAGTGCTCTGTTGTGCTGCAAAGACGTGGGTTGATACTTCAACTACGTCAAGAATGTCCTGCTGGCACTCCACGTAGTAATTCCCATGACCGACTTTCTGTTAACCTCGGCATTAATTGATAATTCAATGTTTTTCAT